TTGCTGCGGTTATAACTAGCGTTCAGGGTTTGATTTATATGCATGTACATAAACCTATAAGACAATGACGGTAACCCCATCAAGCCCCAATAAGCAAAACAAAACCCATCCGGAAAACTCTACCTTACCTAAGATATCTCAAACAACCATCCCCCGATAAGCAAAACTTGAATGATCCTTTTTGTTTCTATTTTGAAGCACATTTGCTCACAGTATTCGCGTGTCACCGGGACGAAAGCCCTACAAACGTAGGCATAACCCTATGGGATTTAAGGTTTAGGGATATAAGCCTCAAGCGCTATAGGGTGGTTCTATTGTATAGGTAATTAATGCCCAAACCTTAAACACTAATAACCCTAAACCTTTGAACCCTATAGGGTTCAATGGTTCGATGTATACCTTCAGCACCCTTTAGGGTTAAAACCTTTGTTCCTTGTAGAGCCCTATCGGGCTTTCGGGTTCTGACCCTAAACGAATCAGGGTTAAGGTCTAAATGCCCGAACTTTAAACCCTTAAGGTGAAAACTCTTTGAGTTTTCGTTTTAAATGCCTAAATCCTAAATCCTAACCCCTTAAACCTTAACTCTATAGGGTTTCAAGGTTCGGGTTGAGGTTGAATTGCCGGCTTAGGTTTACATGCCTCAATCTTAAACCCTGAACCTGTCAACCTTAACCCTATAGGGTTGGGGCGCCTACATCATGATGGGATTTGACGAGCTCTGCGGATATATGTATATGACAAGGATATAACTTTTTGCTGTGCTTATAACTATGGGTTGGGGTTTGATTTTTATACACTTATGTAAACCCATAAGAATAAGGGGAAGCCCATCACACCCCAATAAGCGAAACAAAACATCTGTCCCAAAGACTTTACCTTAGCTAAGATATCTCAAGCAACCATCCCCCGATAAGCAAAACCTGAATTCCATCATTTAACGATATAGTTTGCCTACATGTTGAATCCCAGCAAGTAGGATATATGTGTATGACAAGGTTATAACTTTTTGCTGCGGTTATAACTAGCGTTCAGGGTTTGATTTATATGCATGTACATAAACCTATAAGACAATGACGGTAACCCCATCACACCCCAATAAGCAAAACAAAACCCATCCGGAAAACTCTACCTTACCTAAGATATCTCAAACAACCATCCCCCGATAAGCAAAACTTGAATTATCCTTTTTTTGAAGGACATTTGCTCACAGTATTCGCGCATCACCGGGACGACAGCCCTACAAACGTAGGCATAACCCTATGGGATTTAAGGTTTAGGGATATAAGCCTCAAGCGCTATAGGGTGGTTCTATTGTATAGGTAATTAATGCCCAAACCTTAAACCCTAATAACCCTAAACCTTTGAACCCTATAAGGTTCAATGGTTCGATGTATACCTTCAGCACCCTTTAGGGTTAAAACCTTTGTTCCTTGTAGAGCCCTATCGGGCTTTCGGGTTCTGACCCTAAACGAATCAGGGTTAAGGTCTAAATGCCCGAACTTTAAACCCTTAAGGTGAAAACTCTTTGAGTTTTCGTTTTAAATGCCTAAATCCTAAATCCTAACCCCTTAAACCTTAACTCTATAGGGTTTCAAGGTTCCGGTTGAGGTTGAATTGCCGGCTTAGGTTTACATGCCTCAATCTTAAACCCTGAACCTGTCAACCTTAACCCTATAGGGTTGGGGCGCCTACATCATGATCGGATTTGACGAGCTCTGCGGATATATGTATATGACAAGGATATAACTTTTTGCTGTGCTTATAACTATGGGTTCCGGGTTTGATTTATATCCATGTAAATAAACTATAAGACAATGAGGGTAACCCCATCACGCCCCAATAAGCAAAACAAAGCCTCTATCCTAAAACCTTTACCTAGGCTAAGATATCCCAAGCAACCATCCCCCGATAAGCAAAACCTGAATTCTATCCTATGACGATATGGTTTGTGTATATTTTGAATCCCAGGAAGTAGTGAAAGGACGTTTGCTCACAGTATTCTCGCGTCACCGGGACGAAAGCCCTACAAACGTAGGCATAACCCTATGGGATTTAAGGTTTAGGGATTAAAGCCCGAAGCCCTATAGGGCTTTAAGGTTCTATTGTATTGGTAATGCCCAACCCTTTAACCCTAAGCCTTTAAACCTTGTAGGGTTCAATGGTTCAAGAAGACCTAAGGTCTGGGCATGTATACCTTCAGCACCCTTTAGGGTCAAAACCTTTGTTCCTTGTAGAGCCCTATCGGGCTTTAGGGTTCTGACCCTAAACGAATCAGGGTTAAGGTCTAAATGCCCGAACTTTAAACCCTTAAGGTTAAATCTCTATGGGTTTAGGTTTAAAGTTTAAAAATACCTAAATCTGAAACCCTAACCGCTTAACCTTAACTCTATCGGGTTGAACGGTTAGGGTTTAGGTTTCATTGCGGGCTTACGTTTAAATGCCTCAATCTTAAGCCCTAAACCTGTCAAACTTAACCCTATAGGTTTGGGGTGCCTACATCATCATCGACTTGTTGCCGTGGTTATGACGATGGTTTAGGGTTTAAAATATATATACATTTATGTAACCTATAAAAAAATAAGGGGAACCTCAATAGGCGGACGCCCTATATGATACCTTATCAAAATTGTGATAACTTATGATAACTTATCATAATTATGATAACTTATCATAATTATGAAAAGTTACTTATCGTAATTATCATACTCTGAGATTAAGAACTTAAAGTTATCATAATTATGATAATTCAAATCGGGAAGTTGAAGTTATCATAATTATGATGACTTATGATGGGGAAGTTAAAGTTATCATAATTATCATACTCTGAGATTAAGAACTTAAAGTTATCATAATTATGATAATTCAAATCGGGAAGTTGAAGTTATCATAACTATGATGACTTATGATGGGGAAGTTAAAGTTATCACAACCACGATAACGCATGAGGGGGAAGCTGAGGTTATCATAGTTATGATAACTTCAGGTTAATAGCTTGGAGTGAAAGGGTGTGAGAGGAGGGGTAGGATGGGTTAGGTGCGAGTAGTGGTCTGAATGTTGTATTGTGGGAAGGGGGCGCGTGGGTTGGAGTAGGGGGGGAAGGGGAAAGGTTGGAGGGTGGTGGAGGGTGGGGGGGAGAGTCGGGGGGGCGGGGGGGGGTATAGGGAGGGGGGGGGTGGTGGGGGGGGGGGGGGGAGGGGGGGAGGGGGTGGGGGGGGGTGGGGAGGGGGGGGGGGTGGTGGGGGGGGGGGTGGGGGGGGGGGGGGCGTGGAGGGGAGAGGAGGGGGGAGGGGATGGAGTCTCGCCACAATTAAATCGATTTAAACGATTTAAACGATTTAAACGATTTAATTGGGTCCAATTAAAACGTTTAAATCGCCCAGGCCAATTAAATAGTTTAATTGGCCTGGGCGATTTAAACGATTTAATTGAGTCCAATTAAATCGTTTAAATCGGACGCCTGATATTAAATAGTTTAAATTGGCCTGGGCGATTTAAACGATTTAATTGGTTGGTTTATGGCTTGACTGGGTTTCCCCCCCAATTAAATCGATTTAAACGATTTAATCGATTTAAACGATTTAATTGGGTCCAATTAAATCGTTTAAATCGGACGCCTGAATTAAATTGTTTAATTGGCCTGGGCGATTTAAACGATTTAATTGGACTCAATTAAATCGTTTAAATCGATTAAATCGTTTAAATCGTGTAAATGGATTTAATTGGGGGGAGACCCAGTCAAGCCATAAACCAACCAATTAAATCGTTTAAATCGGACGCCTGAATTAAATAGTTTAATTGGCCTGGGCGATTTAAACGATTTAATTGGTTCGTTTATGGCTTGACTGGGTTTCCCCCCCCCCCCAATTAAATCGATTTAAACGATTTAAACGATTTAATCGATTTAAACGATTTAATTGGGTCCAATTAAATCGTTTAAATCGGACGCCTGAATTAAATAGTTTAATTGGCCTGGGCGATTTAAACGATTTAATTGGACTCAATTAAATCGTTTAAATCGATCAAATCGTTTAAATCGTTTAAATCGATTTAATTGGGGGGAGACCCAGTCAAGCCATAAGCCAACCAATTAAATCGTTTAAATCGCCCAGGCCAATTAAATAGTTTAATTGGCCTGGGCGATTTAAACGATTTAATTGGGTCCAATTAAATCGTTTAAATCGGACGCCTGAATTAAATAGTTTAATTGGCCTGGGCGATTTAAACGATTTAATTGGTTGGTTTATGGCTTGACTGGGTTTCCCCCCCCCCAATTAAATCGATTTAAACGATTTAAACGATTTAATCGATTTAAACGATTTAATTGGGTCCAACTAAATCGTTTAAATCGGACGCCTGAATTAAATAGTTTAACTGGCCTGAGCGATTTAAACGATGTAATTGGACTCAATTAAATCGTTTAAATCGATTAAATCGTTTAAATCGTTTAAATCGATTTAATTGGGGGGAGACCCAGTCAAGCCATAAACCAACCAATTAAATCGTTTAAATCGCCCAGGCCAATTAAATAGTTTAATTGGCCTGGGCGGTTTAAACGATTTAATTGGGTCCAATTAAATCGTTTAAATCGGACGCCTGAATTAAATAGTTTAATTGACCTGGGCGATTTAAACGATTTATTTGAGTCCAATTAAATCGTTTAAATCGCCCAGGCCGATTAAATTATTTAATTGGCCTGGGCGATTTAAACGATTTAATTGGACCCAATTAAATCGCTTAAATCGGACGCCTGAATTAAATAAGTTAATTGGCCTGGGCGATTTAAACGATTTAATTGGACTCAATTAAATCGTTTAAATCGTTCGAATCGTTTAAATCGTTTAAATACTTATTAAAAAAAGGAATGAGCTAAATAGACCCGAAAGGCTGCTCTTTCATATATATATATATATGTGTGTATAGACAAGGGAGATAGACAGGTACACAGATCGTGAGATGGATTGAGAGTTTTATACATGCAGTGAACAATGTGGCCCAGAAGCAAATCTAAAGCCGCTTGCCACTGGGACGAGGCGGCGCAGGCGCTGATGGCAGCACCTTTCATCTTTCATTACTTCTCCAGCCATTAGCAATACGGCAGCAAAAGCGGGAAACAAAGGCAGACAAGCCCTAAACCCTAAACCCTAAACCCTAAACCCTAAACCCTAAACCCTAAACCCTAAACCCTAAACCCTAAACCCTAAACCCTAAACCCTAAACCCTAAACCCTAAACCCTAACCCTAAACCCTAAACCCTAAACCCTAAACCCTGAACCCAAACCCTAAACCCTAAACAAAACAAAAACACCCAACATTTTCGCCAGGCACTGTAGGAAATGATGTCTGGATCTCGGATGCCGTGGAAAAGGAACAGGGCTTGCTGCCACTGCAGAACCTGCAATCAAAGTTTAGGTCTGGCTTTCGGCTCTTGAGTTTAGGGTTTACGGTTTAATTAGGGCTGTGGGATCGCGCTCCAGGTTTAGGACGTGAGGTTCAGCTGTGTAGGGCTGGGGATCCTGCTGCCGGATCAAAAAAATCAAAACGGATCAACAAAAAACAAACAACCGAGGGCTTAAGGTTTAGGTTTACGTTCTTATTGACTCTTTTGTAGTTGATCCTTTTGTGCTTTTCGATCCCCATCCCCTTTGTGATGCGGTGAGCGGCCATGGAAGCAATGACCGAATTCTGGGAGACGATGTCGGGGCTCACGGACAGGCTCTCCATCTCGCAGAGGAGGCTCAGAGCCTGTGCGGGCTCAGGTCCAGCCTTCAGGGTTGAGAGTTTAAACTTTATTGTTTGTAGGTTTTCTTATGGCTTCATGTGTAGGGACTTCCTAATGGAATCCCCGCCTATGCACCTGCTATGGACGACCTCCTATGGGCC